TCAAATATTCGCTCATGTGTAAGAGTGAGGGAGTAAAATAAGTGATTGAAAGCTACGAGTGATAGGTGGGGCTCATCTGATGACTCGTCTTTTCACTGTGCGAAAGCCTTTTCCTGGTACTGTTCTGTTCTTGAGAAAGGAATTCTCTTTATACTTAATGTGTAAAGGCCTTGCTGCTAGTATTCTGGGAGTCGACAATAGGGATAGAGTCTTGTCCTATGTTAAAAAATCCTGGTGACACAGTAGGGTAAGCATTGGGTGCACAAACTAAAAGGTCAGCAGTTTAAACCCACCCACTGTCCCATGGGGAAATAGATAAATCTGCCCCTGTGGACAGTTGTTGTCAGGTGCCATTGAGTGAGCACCAACTCCGAGTGACCCTGTGTACAACAGGATCAACCTCTGCCTGATCCTACCCATCTTCACCACAGCTGCTTTCCTTGAGCCCATTGTTGCAGCCACTGTACCAACCAGTTCCTTAGCGGGACTTCCTCTGTGTCTCTGACCCTCTAGGTTACCAAGCATGATATATTTTTTCTGATAATATGCCGAGTATGTGAGACAAAGTCTCATCATCTTTTTTCTAAGAGAATTCTGACTGTACTTTTAAGACAGGTTTGTTTGGTAGTCCACAGTGCACTAAACACAATTCAAAGGCATCACTTCTTCTTTAGGATTTCTTAATCATTATCAAACAGCCAAATGCATGTTGAAATTATCAGGCACACATTAGTCCTCAATATAATATCTTTGCTCTTTAGCACTTATAAGAGGTCTTTTGCAACAGGTTTGCTGAATGCAGTGTATCAGTTGGGTTTCCTCCCCCATTTGATTTATTAACTGAGAATTCTGTAGGTGTTGATTCTGGAGCCAAGAGTAATTAAATCTTTGAAAAGGTCATTCTCTCTCTGTATATCATGATGATGTATCCAGGTTGAAGATGTTTGTTTTCTTTACTTCGTTGTTATGTACCATCAAATCAGAACCAATTCACAGTTGACCCTCCAGCAGATTTTTCAGAGGCAGTTACTTGCATGGGAGGAGATTGCTATTTTTCTCCTGCAGAGCAACTGGTGGATCCAAGCCATGTGTCTTTGGGTTGGCAGCAAAACTCCTTACCACTGAGCCGCCAGAGTGCCCTTTTTTCATGGTGAGACATACATAAACCCAGTTAAAGGTTATACTCTTTGGTCTTCCTCAGTAAGTACATCAGGTCTTCATCTTCATCAAGCAAGATTGTGTCATCTGTATATCTGTCTCAGGTTAGTGATAAGTCTTCCTCCAATCCAATTCTTCATGTTGTCCAGCATTGCAGATTATTTGTTAGCATGCTGATCGAATATGGTGAAAATATACAACCCAGGCACACATTTGTCCTGATTTTAAACCATGTCGTATTTCTTGTTGTATTCGAATGACTGCTTCTTGGTCTATCTGCAGGCTCTTCATAAATGCAGCTAAGTATTCTGGGCTTCTCATTTTTCTTAATGTTATCCATCATTTTTTTTATGATCCACACAGTCAAATACATTTACATGGTCAATAAAACACAGGTATGCATCGTTCAGTTATTCTCTGCTTTCAGTCAGCCAAGATCTATCTGACATCAGTTATGATATATATCCTTCCCTTCTGAATCTTTTAACTCACCGTGTTTATCCTGAAACCTACTGTAACTTTATAATGGAAAAAGAATAGATTAAAAAAGGCATCTAGAGTGAAAGACAGTACTGGAAGTGTTAATCCCATTGATGAATAAAAGGAGACCAACACATTCCTTTAACTAAATAAAATGTCATTTGCTTTGCCATTTATGTTGGTGTTAGCTTTTTGCAAGAGGTTTATTATTTTGTATTTGACTTCCATTGACTGAAATTCTTAACTCTTAGGCTTTCAAAGTGATCTGTTTGGGTTTTCTGTTTTTATATTTGCATATACTGAGGTGAGTAGATTCCCCCTCTCTATCCACCCATTAATAATCAAGATAATTACTTAAGTACATAATATGCATTAATCAGCACTCTTAATGGCAAGTAACAGAAACTCAACTGATATGGACTTCAGAAAAAGTAGGATATTATTGGCTCACATAGGCAAACCATAGTGTGATAGAATAGCAGACTATGCCAAACATGTTATGTCATAATCACCAGAACCCTTGAATAAAGCTGGCAAAAGGGACTTTGTGGTTGTGATTAAGTGAAGGATTTTGAAATGGAAAAGTGATCCTAGATTATCTGTGTGGATCTAGTGTAAATCGCAAGGTTCTTTATAAAAGGAGAGGGAGGTGGGCAGAAGGACCACCGTCAGAAAGTGAAATAATAGAAGCAGAGGAGAGAGAGTGTATGAGAAAGAAATGGGGGTGGGAGACCAAGGGATTGATTGATTTACAGATGCTATGCTATAGACTTTGAAGACAAAACAAGGGGCTGTGAGCCCAGGAGTTCAAGAAGCTGGGAAAGAGAAATTTAGGTATATTTCCTACTCTTGATATGTTGTTAAGGGTTCTTGATATCACAATGCAACTTATAGTCTTGCTTAATACTTTTGGGGAAAATGACATGATAAAAAAAAAGCACTTTGCAGTCTTCAGTGAAGACAAGATTCATAGAAGATTCATTTAGAAAATCTTTTATGTTCTTCTTTGATAGAAATCTTATTTCAACAGCTAGCTGTGAGATTCAGGAAGGAAATCCTGGAAGAGTTGGGATTTTTTTTTTTTTTTAAGTTGGGCCATGAAGACTTGAAGTTCCTCCAGAATTGACAAAGAGAGAAAAGTCTCCCCTTAGAACTTGCATTCTGAGTTCAGGCTTCTAGCCTCTTAAATGGTGAGAAAATGAATTTCAGTTCTTTAAATCCATCTACTTGTGGCACTAGCTAATCGAGACAGCAACCCGACAGAATAGAGTAGAACTTCCTCATAAGTTTTGAAGGCTGTAAAAGTACCACTTGCCTGTCAATTTGTAGTATTGTGGTAGCTTGTTTGTTGCTATTATGCTGGAAGCTGTGCCACCACTACTTCAAATACCAGTGTGGTGACTCGTGGTGTACATGTTTCACCAGAGCATGCAGACTAAGACAGACTAGGAAGAATATTTGGCCATCCACTGCAGAAAAATTGGGGCCTTGAAAACTCTGTGAATACCTCTGGAACAGTCCCTGATAGTGCCAGAAGATGAGATCCTCGGGTACTCCAACAACTGGGGAAGAGTTGCTCCTCAAAGTAGGATCTACCTTAAAATGGCACGGATGGAGTAAGGCTTTCAGACCATAAAGGCCTTCATTTACTGATTTGGCCCAGCTCAAACTAAGGAGAAACAGCTACAAATGTCCATTAAGAATTGGAATGTCATGCACACCCACGTTTATCGCTGCTTTGTTCACAATAGCAAGGAGCTGGAAACAACCTAAGTGCCCATCAACAAACGAATGGATAGAGAGGCTGTGGTATAGTCACACAATGGAATACTACTCTGCATTGAAAAACAAGAAACTCATGCAATATTATTAAAAATGGGTGACCCTGGAGGACATTATGCCGAGCGAAATATCCCAGTCACAAAAGGACAAACACTGCATAGTGCCACTGTTGTAAAACAGGACTGATATTAGGGTTGGGGCGAGACTGAGAAAGATGGTATAAATAATGTATACAGCATTGAAACAGATGAGGGAGAAAACTGTTTAAAAGGGATGTGTGATTAGGTATTATTGTCATGACAGGAGTCCAGAACGAAGGCTGCATAGTGGAGTGGACCTGGGGGGAGGGATTGTAGAACAGGGAAAGAATTTTTCTTTTACTTGTCAAAAAGAAGTAAGTTTACTGGGGGGAGGGTCGGGCAGGGAGAAAAGTGCAACAATGAATAAATGGAAATCCAAGGTCTCTGTAAATTTTAATTAAAATTAAGAATAAAAAAAAAGAAAACCTTTGTGATTTGTAAACTTTCATTCAAATCACAATAAAAAATTGGGTGGGGAAAAAGAACAAATACATATAACCTTTGTCCTAGCATGCAATATTTATTTGGAAACCCTATATATATACACTTAACATAGAAGTTAATATAGAAATGTTACATGTTCAGCACAACCCACTGCAGCATTGTTTATAATAGCAAAATTTTTACAACACCCCAATCCATCAACAGAGTACTGCTTGGGGTTTTTTGTTTGTTTCTTTGTTTTAATTAAAGTACATTTTACAATAGAATACTACTGAAGCAGAAAGATTTTACGGATATGTATTCTAAGGAGAAAAAAACAGCAGAAGAAATGTGTATGGCACATTACCTTTTGTGTTATGTAGAGGAACTGTCAACTCAATATTTGTATTTGCTTAGTTATAAAAACTCAGCACAGACAAAAGGCGCTCGAGAGCAATGGTTTTGTAAAGGCCTGGGAACTGGGTGCTTGAGGGCAGGTAGAAACTGAATAGAGATCATTTGCTCTTTTTGCAGTTTGTTTGTGTGTGTTTTTTTTAACTACATGAATGGCTTATCTAGTCAAACTTAAATATAAAATGTTGAGCAAAATAAACAATACCCAGAGAATTATGTGCAATGTGGTTAAGAATTCTCATAAATCCAGTTCCCAGTGCACAGGACCCCTGAATGAAATACCTTGTCAAGCTGTGCACACATAGTTGGAGGAATCAATCTTGGGGAACAACACAGTAAGGAATCCCAGTCACAAAGCTGGACAAACTTTATCTGTTTTATCCTCTAATCCTTATGTTTAACTGTTTAAGATATCAAGCTAATTCCCTTGGTCACAGCACTGTGGAATCCTGGGGGCTAAAGAGCCTGCTAACATGGTCTACTCTTATGGACATTAATTAGAATCTTGCACATTCATTCATGTTGATTTCAGAAGGAAAACCCTAGTTATTTGATGAGCATGCCTTATAAGACAAACACAGGAACCAGCCTAATGATTTGGCAGATACCACTTCACAATATTCTGATTAGCTTTTTAAGAAAACTCTTCTTCCTTTTAGATAAATGGAAGAGCTGGAAGGCAGTTTATTCCAGACACGGAAGGCGCACAGAATAGAACAAATGGTATCGAGATGGCTTCGACGCTCTCGGGACAGCTCAGCCCGGTAAGGTTCCTTGGCTAGCAGAGATACCTGTCTGTAACTGTAAAGATTTGATGTCCTGGCAGGAGAACTGGTTTTGACAATTCTGGCAGCACCTGGAGATCACTGTCTCTCATTCGCTTTGTTCTTGCTCCATTTGATGGGAGAAATGCAAACAGTTAAGTCAGCCGTTGTGCCGGGGTGTCGTCTGTCCTCCTTTCAACTTTTCCTCTGTCTCTTCCAACAGGAGATATTCATACACATGCATGTATATTCTCATATACACACTTGAACATATACTGTTTTGAACATCTAAATATGCTAACACACATGCTAACATTCTCACATTTGAGTACACACTTGTTTACACACTTGTTCACATACACTTTCTCACGCATAACACTTGCTCACGTTCTTTCTGCACCCTGTCCAAGTACTTGCTGTGATGGTCAGACAGTCTTCTGTTTATATTATTTCCCTGTCTTTGTTTCCAACAGCTGTTCCTTCCTTGCAGCCTCTATTTTATTCTAAACAAAATAAAATGAAATAAAATACAGATCTGATTTGATGGCTACAAGAGAACTTGAAAATATGCTCTGTTTTGAAGCATGCCTTTTCCGTCTCAGATTTCCCATCTGATCCTGCCACAGAGATGAAATATCATGTGTCAGGTATTTCTGAGGCACACATTCTTCTGGGAGGAACTGGAAACAGCTGTTCTGATGCTGAGTGATAAACATTGTTTGGGGTTGCATTGCCATGAGGCCAAGTTCACTGCCATGAGGCCAAGTCCAGTGATCTTCACACTGAACTGGAGTAAAGGCAGTCACATTAGTCGCATTTTCCAGATAAAACAAGGAGGTTTAGAAAGATGCTTTTTTTTTATTTTATTATTATTAAATTTTATTAGTTTCAATGAACATTCACAGGGATTCTGGGCTTTCACTCCTTAATTGCTGCACCATTCTCTCCACCCTCCTCCCCAGTTTGTTCTTCTTCCCTGCCATCCGAATGTCTGTTTTAATTGTCCAATTGCCACAGTGCTTGTCAAAGTCAGTTCTGATTAATCTCCTTTGTCGGTGTGTCCTTTGCCATTCCCTCTCACTCCTCCCTGAGAGAGACTTCACCCTGAGTCATAAGGAAAAGGGGATGGCGTATTCTCTTAGCTACTTCCTGCTGAAAAGGGACGCTGTGGGTTTCAGGGTGAAGGTCTTCTCTCACTACTCTAAAGGGCCCCTTTGGCAGTAGGAAACACATAGACTATTATGGAGATTGATTTTGGAATTTAGATGCACTCTTATTAATTGTGCTTGGCCGTACATGTTCATATCCTTGAAAATGTATCATGGGGGTGTTGCAACCTAGAAGACACAAATTTGACTAACAAGTTATAAGTACATGAGTCAAACATTATGGAAAAGTAAAAGAAAGGATTCTTTCATTGTTTTACAAACCCTCCCCCAGGGCCCCTCCACCATGTAGCCCTCGCTCTAGACTCCTGTGATGACAGAAGTACCTAGTTATATATCTCTTTTAAACAGTTTTCTCCCTCCTCTGTTTCAGTGCAGTATACATTATTGAACCCATCTTACTCAGTCTCTCCCCAACCCCGAGGTTAGTCCCATTCTACAACAGTGGCATCATGTAATATTTGTCCTTTTGTGACCGGGATATTTCACTCAGCATAATGTTCTCCAGAGTCAACCATTTTGAATAATATTGCATGCATTCCTTGTTTTTTAATGCAGCATAGTATTCCATTGTGCGAATATACCACAGCTTCTCTAGCCATTCGTTTGTTGATGGGCACTTAGGTTGTTTCCAACTCCTTGCTATTGTGAACAAAGCTGCAATAAACATGGGTGTGCATATATCTGCTTGGATGTCAGCTATGGTCTCTTCAGGGTATATTCCCAGTAGTGGAATTGCTGGGTCAAATGGTATCTCTATTTGCAACTTTTTGAGAAAGCGCCATACTGCTTTCCACAGGGGTTGCACCATTTTACACTCCCACCAACAGTGAATCAGGGTTCCAGTTTCTCCACAACCTCGCCAGCATTTGTTGCTTGCTGTTCTGTTAAATTTTGCTATTTTGACTGGGTTGAGATGATATCTCATAGTTGTTTTAATTTGCATCTCTCTTAGGGCTAGGGATTTTGAGCAAGAAAGATGCTTTTTTTAGGTCCAAATCCCGACTCAAAAACCTTTGGCATAGTCCCCATTTCTACCAGGTTGGAGTTGAAAACCTCTTTGGTTTTATATTCAAAACTCATCTTAGCAGGCCAGCAATATTTTCCAGCAACTTTTGTCTTGTACTTTTCTTTATGCTCCAGTTAACCCTGACTTTCTCCATCTCCTCCTTCTCCCCTGGGACTGGTTTTTTGCCTGATCTCCTTCTCACATCTCCACAGATCCAGAATTGTTTTTTAATCTGTTATTATCTACCTCATCTACTGGTTATTGTTTGAACCATCTTCCCATCTGCTTTGCCACATGTGAGACCAGGGCAGTGACTGTCTTGTTTTACAAAGTGCCCTCAGCCCTAGCAGAGTAGGTAGCATGTAGCAGATGCTCAATACATTTTTTACTGACAAAGTGAAGGCTATCAGAGTAAGGGTGTGCATTAATTATTATTAAAATATATTTAAAATTCACATCTCTCCTTCAAAAAGGAATTTTTGAAGGCCCCAAATTTTAAAACATGTAGGAAGATTAAAGAAATATTATAAATAAGTTGCAAATCAATTAGGTATCGAGTTTAGCATTTAAGTATTAATGATAGTTGGTCTTCCATAGCTAGAGCATGAGTGAAGACAGCAGACTACAATGTGTCCTATAGACCTGAAAGGTGACCTAGTGGTAAAGAACTGCACTGAGAACCCAAAGACATGTGTTGGATCCACAGCTGAACAAAATTGACAATCTCCTCCCAAGCGATTAACTGCTTCTGAAAACCCCTTGAAGGGTCAGCTATGAGTCTGTACCAACCCAATGGTACATAACAACAATGTTCAGAGAAAAGAAAAATAGAAGTTTATCTATAATCATTGAGATTTACATGCATTTTCACCAATTACATTCTTCTTTTTCAGAGTTTTAAAAACTGCTACTACTTTCAGTCATACTTCAGTTATCCTTTCAGTTATACTTACTTTATGATGTATGGAGTTTATCTTTTAATCTGACTTCTAGGCCTTATTATCTATGCAGCTAGCCTTATGTTGCTATGCACATGGGCAGAATTATGTGAATGAGGCATATTAGCCTATCCACATGGGGATTGGCTATCTACCACTCCACAAGGAGGTTGGCCAACCTCAACAATCTACAAGGAAATTGGCTAGTCTCGCCAACAAATTGAAGAGCTCTAGCTACAGAGACAGAATTCTTTCTCCACCAGAAGAGGAGGGCAACTTCTCCCAACCCAGTGAAATGTAGGATGTGCTTTGAAACAGAAGCAGCAGCAGCAATGGCTGAACTGAAGAATTGATGTGAGATATAGGACTTTGGGGGATGGGAGAGAATCCAGTAGTGGTGGGACTGAGAACTTTGTTGGAGAATTAGATGGAAAGCCGATACTAGTTAGACTGAGGACTTTGCTGGACATTTGGGTGGATAGCCAATGTTGGCAGGACTAAGAGCTTTGTTGGACAATTTGGGGAGGGAAGCCAATATACACAGGACTAAGAACTCAGGAACACCATGAGGCTGCAGGCTGAGGAGCCTGCGGGCACATTTTGGGAATTGTCTTGTCTATATTCTGTTGGTATTCTGAATTATAACCTTTTGACTCCCCCAATATAGTTCTGTGTGGTCTGTGAGCTATCACATCGGATTTCAGACCCAGCCAAACAATGAGATTGGTGTTGAGATGAGTAGAAAGAGGCACAGGAGCATGGGAACATGTCTGACTTCATGGGAATTGGTTTTGTGTTATTGATGCTGTGGGTGGGGATAGTTTCCCTCTGTGAAGTTGATAGAAGTCAGATATGGGGCTCCCCACTGGCCCTTACCCTTTTTACAGATGCAATTGACAATTTTTCTATACATTTATTTAAATGTTATCTTTAGCTCTGAGCAAAATGTTTAGAAGCAAATTGGTTAGAAATAACATTTTCCTTTCTAAATATTATTAAACAAATTGGTAATTGTCATGTCTTTCTCTCTGGTAGGTTTAAATACCAACTGCTTTTTTCACTAGCAGCTCAGGACTTTGATGACTAAGCCACCAGGGCTCACCTACCTTGAATAGTCCTAGCTATTCTCAGTCCAATGATTTGGACTGTATACTACTTGCTTTCTGGTCTTTCTGTTTTCTTTGAATATATGTTAAATTACAAAGTCCATCTTATGTTGGGCATTAGCTTTTAAAATCACTCAAGCTGAACACCATAAGGCATAAGTATAGGGACTAAACAGTTTCTCTGCATCATACTGTAACTCAAAGATAAATTCTTTGTTGTTACAGGATAAAAAAGAAATATATTTTCCAATATGAAAAATTAGAGGGCAGATTTTAAAAACTGAGAATATTTGAAGTTTAATCTGTTTCCATATGACAGTTTTCTTTTTCGTTGTTGATCAGCTGTAAGCTGTAGAATTAGTTTCCATTAGACTGTATTCTTGATAAATTTAACTTGTTTGTTTAATTCTACCTCAGGATCAATCCCATTATCTAACAGGATCACACATTGGTGTGACTACAGATTTTATAGTGTTCCAGTGTAAAAATCACAGGCATGACCTTAGATGTATGGCCCAAAACCATCATAGGGTCTGAAAGCTTACGTGTTATCATCCCTATGTGTGATATTTATAAAATACTTCAGAGGAGGAAATTCTGTTTCAAAGATAATTTTCTTGAGCCTACAGTCAAATATTAAACTTTCTCTGAGAAGAGAGGCCACGATTTGGCCAGGTACTTAAATAATCCCTTTGCAAACAAAAACTGCAATGAGGCCTTTGGAGGGGAAAATGTCAAGTCCAGACTTTGCAGTCAAAGTCACTGACACTGTTCAGGGATT